AAAAAATCATCTCTGGTGTTTAGAATAACAAGACATGGTTGGGTTTCTTGGACATGCATGAGAAGTTATTATTCTGTCTGTTGCTAGACATGTGTTTAAACACCAATTCCTGGAACTTTTCCTTGACTTTATTAATGAATTATAATTCGCTGAAAAYGGTAAGCGATTGTCACTTTGAGTAACAAACTATTTCAGTATTATATTTATGACTTGGCAGAGGAACTAGGGAGTGATGAAGATGATATTGATGAAGATGGGCAAGAATATTTGGAGATTCTGGCTAAGCAAGCAGGTGAAGATGGAGATGATGATGATTGGGAAGAAGATGATGCAGAGGAGACTGCTCTGGAAGGCTATTCCACAATCATTGATGATGAAGACAACCCTGTTGATGAGTATCAGATATTTAAAGCTATATTTCAAAGTAAGTCAGCTTATCACATATAGAACTTTCATTAAACAATCTGTCCCTTAATGAAGAGATTAATTAAAGTACCCAAAATTATTTATGATGATGCCGTCAAGCTACTGAGTATTCTGTCCTCTTCCTCTTATTTTTCCATTTAGTTTATAATTTTGAAAGATATACATTCTAGAATATAGTGTATTTCTTAAAAGTTAAGTACAGTGATAATTCCTCTTCTGATTCTCAGTCTTTCAATTTTCCTCAATTGTTCTTCCAAGTTTATATCTATTCAGTGTTTATGTATTTTTGCATCTCTTAATCAATTCATTCTGTTATTACAGAATTAGCAATTCTAATTAATCAATTTTAAGCTTCAAGCAGCTAATTTAACCACCCAAATTTGGTTGTAGTGATACAGATTTCTCCTGGAATTCTAGATATATCACAGTTATGTGTGTCTATAGAATACGACATGCTATTTTTGGTTAATAGCATCTTTTGCTTGAATTTCAAGGTGTAATGCCTATAGTCCACCACTCATTTTATGAAACTAAATTGCTGATCCCATAGTTCTGTAGTCCCAGCTATTTAGGAAGCTGAAGCAGGAGGCAACTTAGCCTGGGCAACTTAGCAACACCCTGCCTCAAGATAAAAAATACGAAGAGCTGGGATGTTGCTCAGTGGTAGAGCAACCCTGGATTCAGTCCCCAGTAAAGGGGGGGAGTATTTAAATTGCCACTAAATTTGAAAGCCCTTCCCCCTCAGGGTTCTCCACTGTTACTTATCATTTCTACATRGGAACTTTGATATGGAATAAATTCTTTCATAACCAAGGTTTAAATACTCCAAGCCCATGAAAGTATTTTTGATGCCAGTTCACAAATAGTTTTCTGAATTAGATGATAACAAGAATTGATTGAAGTGCCAGAACTTCTGGCTTGCTTTGTTTTTTGTTAGGTATGAACAGGACAGTCTCTAAAATATACTTTCTAATACAGTGCCTCTGCACAGTTGAAGTAAAGGAGAAACAGAAGATCTTGTGATTTAGCATTAGGTTTTTGCTCCCCAACTACCTTGCATCCAATACATGTGGATATCACTTTTACATTCTTTACTTGCTCGGCAGTGAAAATTTTGGGGGTAAAACCAATTTTAGACTCTTTTGCTTGCAGATGTGTGTGAAATAGGGAAATACTTGCTCAGACCTACCACCATTTTATATTCACTTATGTAGTGTATTTTTTTGGTTGAACATTGTGAAATTTTAACACTTGGTTTTTRTGACATTTGGAAAAAATTCGTTCTGTTCCTCACAGAGTAAACATTTTTTAGGCTATGATATAAAAATGTGTCACTTGTCATTTTAACTTGAGAATTATGTATATATGCTTTTCTTTTTTCTTTCTTTTTACTGCCTGCCAAATCTGGGGTCTCACATACTCCAGGAAAGAACTTTAGCAGTGACATAAATCACAAATCAAGTTATATTAAAGAGAGGTTTTTGAGTAGGCAGAGGAAGAAGAATAAAGCGTTTATTTTGTATTGTTCACCCTTTTTCTTGCATCTGTATTTTCAAGTCATTTAACTCTGAATATTTTACTTTATTTATTTATTTATTTAGGGAACCAGGGACTGAACTCAGGGGCACTTGATCACTGGCCCTCATCCCCAGCCCTATTTTGTATTTTATTAGAGACAGGGTCTCACTGAGTTGCTTAGTGAGTTGCTTTCTAAATTGCTGAGGCTGGCTTTGAACTC